ACAAATGATGAACTGAGTTCAAGTAATTGTTATATATGTATCTCGAAAATTAAAAATGGTCTGAGTTCAAGTAACTTATTTCTCTAATCTCCAAAATTTATTGTTATATATGTATCTAAAAAATCATTATTATTTTTTTACTTTTTTCTGTTTTAATAAAAAATAAGAAACGAATTCATGTAATATTCGGTTATTTTTGGATAGTTCGCGATTTTTAAATTTGTGTTTCGTGTTACTTTGAGCCCAAAAAAACTCCAACAGGTGAAACTTCAAATTTGTTTTAAGCTTTTTATATGTACAATTGCTTTCATATGAAAGATCATAAATATTTATGAATTTTGATATATTTTTAACAAAAATTGGAAAACAAATAAAAAAGTTATGTATGAGTTTTAAAAAAATTGAGATATTATAACGCAAAGAATGACGTTATATGAAGTCATCCGCACCAAAGAACAAACCTGCAATTGTCCCTTTCTTTTCATTTTTCATCAGTTTTTCCTAATCTTACTCTTCTCAACTAACCCTCTTTTCCCACTTTTCACCCTATTTCCCACATTTAACCTTTTCACCCTATTTCCCACTTTTATTAATACCCCTTTTAATCTTTCACTACACACAATTAAGAGCTCAAAAGCTTCACATCTTACCTTTTGGACTCCTTGTATCTTACCACTACAAATGATCTACTAGCTAGGATGATACTTCGTATCATTTGTCACCACTAATAATACACGCCATTTAACTAGTTATTACATATCTCGCCTTTATTTTAGTTATAAATGTGTATTTATTTCATGCAAATTTATACTTTGGCCCTCATTCCATTAATATAGTTGGTACTAAATTAGTTTTTAGAAAATATTATATATATATATATATATATATATATATACAAAAAAATTGAGTGGTGTCAATTGACCATCATTCCATTCATATAGGTGGTGTCAAATTATTTTTTAGAAAATAAACCTCTATGTATAATTACAAAACATGTTTGAGTGGTGTAATTGACACCACGTCCTTGTATGTGGCTCTGTTCCTTCAGGGTGGTCAGCCGACCCCCTAAAAGTGTGAGAATGTAGAGCACTTAAATACCTTCAATTTGATATAATATGACTTCTATAACTCATTACGAGTAAAAATTTATGACACTTGAAAATCAGTTTCATTTAAACTTTAAATGAGTTAAATTTGATGTCTAATATTGATTATAGTTTCATATTTTTTAAAATAGCATTTAATTCACTCATTATTTAGGTGAAGTCTATAATGTATATCAGTATATGACATATATACCAAATCTATAACTCTATTAGTCTTATTTAAACTACGATTGTCTAAGCTACATATGAAAAGTGTTGTTTAAAAATGATTCATCACCTACCTTTTTTATTTTGTGTTCAATTAAGTTTCGGCTCCCCTTAGTCTTTTGTCTTCCACTTTCAGGAAGGGAACTATTTTTGAAATTAAATAGTGTCTAACTGTAAGTTGTAACTTGTAAATTGATATTGTTGGAAAAGGTCATTGCATAAAAAGTAAAAATTAGACTATTTAATGAAAAGTACTACAGAGTATTTGTGTAATAAATTCAAGAGAGAATTTTGCTAATTAAATAAGACCAAAATAATGTAGAAGTTAAAAAATATGACTTCTATGTTTTATATGACTAAGAATGTGTTAACATGACAAAACTATCCTTACCGGAAAAATTAAAAGGTTCTCTGGTGTGCGTTTCCTAACTCCCAAGAGAGTTCAGGATCGCCTCCAAAACATTACCTATGGCGCATATGCTATCCTCAAGCAAGTCTGCCGTCGCTACCACTATTTGACGAGTTCACCGCCTTCATTCTCCGACAAGGCACTGCTCTCCGGCGAGTATGTGCAGATCTCTGACAATAATGACAACTTGATAAGAAAAATGACATAATAATGGCATTTTATATTTAAAACATGACATTTCCAAATGTGAATTATGATATTATCATATTAAAATAATGGCAGATTAAATTTCAAAATGTGAAATATGAGAAAAGGAAAAAAGAAAAATCAGTAATAAAATGTCATCTTCATAAGTGGTAGCCTAAAAATGACATTATTTGTCAAACGGATAAAAATATTGCATTCCATATATTGTAATTCCAAAGTAATCTTTTCATTTTTATAGATGTAATAATGTCATAAAAGTGACATTTTTTTCAATTAAGTGTTTAAATAATAACCAATAGTCATGGCATTTTCAAATTTGAAAATAATAAACAAACAAACAAACAAATAAAAAAATAAATAAATAAATAAATAAATAAATAAATAAATAAATAAATAAATAAATAAATAAATAAATAAATAAATAAATAAATAAATAAATAAATAAATAAATAAATAAATAAATAAATAAATAAATAAATAAATAAATAGTGGGCATTCCTTTTTGGTTTATGCTCGATCCCTCATTCACACATCATCTATCCGAAGAATTCTCCCCTTTGACTATGAAGTGCGTAGGCACATTTTTTGAGATTGAGCCTCCCTTTGGTGGCCCCCATCCTTTTAAGCCAACCCTCATCCTTCTAAATATTATATCCATGTCTCGCATGTAACCTCCCTTCTTCTTGCTCTTGATCAAGATCAGATGTCGTCGTTTCCAACCATAGGCCTTCATGGTTATCCCGGGTACCTCCTTAAACAGTATATCGATCATGACATTTCGTAAGCCGAACGACATCACTAAATAACCTTAGACATTATCTAATGTTACGGAAATTGTTTTCTCTACATTGTCCAAGGGCTTGGGCACTTGGTGATACCCCTTAAGCCGTCCATGAATCTCATGGAAACCCTGATGATTCCTATTGAAGAGCTCCATTTTAGTGAGGAATTTGATACAAGAATCTTCCAACTCTAGTTGTCCGAGAATGGCACTATGCTGAGTATGCTCATATTTGAGCTGGACCAACGGAAACAGGCCGGGGCGTAGCTAGGAAGGAGCCAACCCTGGCCCGGGCCCAGTCCGAATTTTAAAAATGAATTTTTAGTGTAAAAATTTTTGTTTAAATATTTTCCCAAAAATATTTTTTGTACCGGCCCAGTCTGGTCCAGTGATCTGGTTCCACCCCTTAGCGCGAATGTCATACTTAATAACTTAATCTGGTATGGTGTGTCCCATCTGCGGCAGAGCACGAGTCGGTTCGGGCGGGTCAGGTTCAAAAAGTGTAAACCCCTTCGGTTATCGGATTGATGATTTCAAGCCCTACCCTATTAAAAAGTTTATCGGGTTTTCGGGTTGAAGAAGTTCGGGTTGCGGTTGGGTTCATTCGGTTTTCGGGTCCATTCGGATTTTAATTTATTATTGTTGAAATTGTGATAAATAAAATGGTAATTGGTAAAAATATCATTCAAAGTTATACCAGTAGTATAACATTCAAAGTAATAGTTGTATAAATATGATAATCGACATATTTGAACATGTAATATAATAATATACGGTGATTGGAATATTTGATATGGTGATAAAAAATGATAATTGGTATATACGAGCTTAACAGTTAACATTGAACAGTACAATTGGGTATATAAGGAGTATATATGCCATGGGCATTTCGGGTGGTCGGGCGGGTCGGGTAGCTAGCATAATTCGTAACCCTACCCGCTACCCGCTTAAGTCTCGGGTTGCAAGAATCGGATCGAGTTTGGGTATTTCAGATTTTCGGGTCGGGTTTTCCGACCCAAACAAAAAATTCAGATATATCCAGTCGGGTCAATCGGGTAGGGTCGGATTTGCTCTCCCCTAGTCCCATCCCCTATCTGCACCGATCACCGATAGTGCGAATGAGAAATGATTGACCATAGAGTACGTAGTACAGAGTATAAAATAAGCTCAAAAAATTGTAAAAAAAAAAAAACTAGGTACCGACCCTGAATGTGAGGTATATTTATTGTGTTTGAAGACATTATTACTTTTGTTTTTACTTTTTAACAGAAAAACAGGAAAAAAATCTGTTAATTCTTTTTCAAATACTGTTTTAACATATTGATGTTTCCGTATTTGTTGGGTACGTAGCCACGTAGGTAGCATGGTATACTAATATAATAATCTTTTATAAATCATTCAACTGGTCAAGGTGGGGACAACAATAAAAAAAAAGATTTATGGAAAAGGTTCAAACAAGCTCTTTTATTATTTCCAATTCATCACTTAAGCTTTTGCACTAAAAAAAGTACGGGGTATAATATAAGTATGCTTACTTAAAAAATTGATCAATTTGGTCATTTATTCAATTTTGGACTTGTAATAGCAGGTTTTTTATATTGCAAACTGTAAAAAAAATGTTAAAATTGAAGAAATGTAGATGAAAATTGTGAAAATTTTTAGAATGTCAAAATCAATATTTTTGAATTTTTGAAACTATTTGTATATTCTACATCTATTTAAAAGATTTTTACATGTTTTATTTTAAATCTTTACATTTTCACTTTATTTTTTCGGTTTTCTGATTTTTTATTTAACGTTTTCAAATTTTGTATCTATTTTTACATTTGTGCTGTTTTTATATTATTATAACATTATTTTTCAAATTTATGCAAATTTATACGGAGTATGAGATTTATCAGTAATCCTAATTAATTTTCTTACAAATAATCTGCTATAATAGGAAACTGATTGATTGTATTTTTAGTAGAAAAGTTTAATGACCCTTCTCCCATAAAAAGTCATCTGTAGTCCATACAATTTACAATATACAATCGTATGTGCTCTTCTATACAATTAATTCAATTCTCATTTCGTTGTTCTCACCGGAGCTAGCAAATAAAACATAAAAAGGTATATCAAGAGGTAAATAAAAAGAAATACATTATACTACGTATATTTTGGAAGTTGTCTTAAAAAAGACGAATAAAATCATTAAAAAGCATAGTTAGAAGCCAGAAGACTCAGAACTTAATTTCTTAGTTCTTTAAATAGGAGTTCCAATTACCTCTATCACCTCATTAAATATATACTCTTTTGCATCTTCGAACTACTGTGGTCTGTGGTTAAGTTTTTCCTCATGTCGCGCTCACTTGAGGTGTCCAAGTATGTCGTTTTTTCTTCCCCTCCTCTGTTTCTCTTGTCCCTTGATTAATTTCTTTCTTCCCTTTTTTCTCTTTGGTTATTTTTTCATGCGTCTAGTAGAGAGAGGTCTCATTTTTTATTTTTCCCATTAAATTGATTAAGTTTGAATTGGATATTGATTTTAAGTACTGTCGATTTATGAGATTACTGGTTACTACTACTTTTTAAAAATGCCATAATTTGCTCTAAAAATCACTTGATATTACATTTGAAAAATAGTTTCTTGGTTTTCTTTTTTTTTTTTAAATTCATTTTTGTATGATCTAAGTATGTCATATTCTGATTTGAAATTGACACTATTTGATTTTAAAATTGCCATATTTATAGTGTAATGCGAACTGCATTTTTCATGTGAGGGAATTTTCAGAATTTTGCAATGAAACTTAGAATTCCTACCTTTGCAACTTAGCTTCTATTGAACTCTTTTTGGTAGGGGTTTAGCTCGGGGCCAGCCTAGACCTCGACCTACCCCAAATTTCAATTTTGATTAATTATTTGGGTAGTAATATCTGCATTTTTCAAAAATAAAGTCTATATCGGTTCAGTCTAATATAGGGCCTGTCAAAGCCTCTGCTATTTGGTACAGTGGTAACTGTCATTATTGTATTATTATTAATATTAATATTATTATTATATTATTATGTCATTTTTTTATTTTCCTAAGAATGGTTGATTAAATTAAATTAACTAATCAATTGTAGGGCGTGGTGCTTGGGTGTTCTCATCCTCGTAGAAGGTTTTTCCGCACTTCTGGGGCTTATTGCAGGATATGTTAAATTCAAAAAGGCAAGTTCACACGCACTTTTTCTCTCCCGTAATTACAAGTAGAACTTATCGAAACCCAATGATAGCTATAGAAGTTAAACGCAAAAATGGTTACTTTTTCATTCCACCCAAGAGAATCAACTTAGGCGTGTGTTCCCTTGAAATAGTTTTGTGTATGTAATCTTTGGGCACAACTTATCTTCTTGTGATTGCCATAACTTATTTAACTGTTAATATTTCAGCACATTTAGATTAAATATCATTTTGTTCGTGAGCGTGTTGCACATGGAGATTTGATTGTTCAATATGTTTCAACTCATCTCTCATTAGCTGATATTTTTACCAAGAGTCTTTCGAGTCAGCAATTTCATTTTCTTAAAGGCAACAACCTGCACGTTGTATCTCTCGCACATATTGAGGGTATAATAATTACTCTCTCTGTCCCGCTAAGATGGTCTCATTTTACATTTTCGGTTCATTCCACTAAGATTGTCCCAAAGCAAATTTGATAAAGTTTGTGTGACTCTAAATCATTCTTACTTTATTCTTATTTTATCAATTAAATATCAACCACATAAACCACCTTTTATTGGTTTGCGTGTCTGTCCTTGTCCAATTGTAAGTGGGATGGAGGGAGTATTATATGAGGAATCTTTATGCAATTCTGACATTATTCTCTTTAATATAAATATATCCACTTGTTCCATTCTCCACAATGCCTTCAGTTTTGTTTCTCGCACACCTGCAAAATCGTCTTCAATTCCTTCTGAACCTACAATTCAGTCCAGCAAGTCAACCTGGACGTCGGAAGCAAGCTATTTGAGACCATTGTCCCTATACGGGCTATACTTCAATCTGAAGGTTCTCTAATTGGGAGCTTGACAATTTTAAGGTAAAATATGCATGCTATTCATTAATTAGTAAGGAGTATTTATACAGTTATATACATGGGCTTCCACCAAATAACAGCCCTACGTTCCTAGACTTTTTACAAGATGGACTAAATAAATATTATTCTCAATACCCCTCAAGTTGGAGCAAGCGGATTACAATTGCCCAACTTGCGAAGTAAATGATGAAACTGTTGAACTCCCAAAGATTTTGTGTAAATATCCGCAAGCTGGTCCGAAGTGGAGACATGAACGGTACGAAGTCCCATCTTGAACCGCATCACGAATATAATGGCAATCTACCTCAATATGTTTCGTACGTTCATGAAACACCGGATTTTGAGCAATATGCATTGCCGACTGGCTCTCACAATAAAGAGGTATGGCCTGGGAGTGTGGCACCCCAAGGCTGAGAAGAAGCGCTTTAAGCCACTTGAGTTCAGAGGTAACGGATGTCATGGAGCGATATTCGGCTTCAGCCAAGGAGCGAGAGACCGTATGTTGTTTCTTGGTTTTCCAAGAGATAGGAGAAGAGCCAAGAAAAACCATCCATCCAGTGAGAGAGTGGCGAGTGAGCGGACAACTAGCCCAATCATAATCACACCATGCCGAGAGAGATAGGTCAGACTGAGAACTGAGAAGAATACCCTGACCAGGTGTACCTTTGAGATAACGCACCACACGAAGAGCAGCTGTCCAATGATCCTGACGAGGAGCTTGCATAAACTGCGCCAAAATATGCACAACATATGCAAGATCGGGTCGTGTGAATGACAAATAAATAAGACGCCCAACAAGTCTGCGATAGGGTTCCGGATCTGTAATGACTTCCCCTGTAGCAAGAGCAAGAGAATGGTTTCGGGGAAGAGGCGTGCTGGCCGGCTATGCCCCTAGAAGACCGGTGTCAGCAATAATATCCAGTGAATATTTCCGTTGGCACAAGAAGAGACCATCGGCGTTGCAGGCAACCTCAACACCCAAAAAATATTTTAATGTTCCCAGATCCTTCATGTGAAAGCAAGTACTCAAGTAACTCTTGAAAGATCGTAATGCCGAAATAATTAAATCATCGACATATACTAGAATGGATAGTTGCACGGTGCCCCGCTGAAAAATGAAGAGGGAGTAATCCGAGTAGGACTGTCGAAAGTCATAATTTTTTAGAGAACTGGTGAGCTTGGCAAACCAACACCGGGGAGCTTGACGCAAGCCATATAGAGATTTCTTGAGACGACAGACCATACTGGGGGAGCTAGGGGTAAAACTAGGTGGAAGTTTCATGTATACTTCTTAGTTAAGATCACCGTGAAGAAAAGCATTGTGAACATCCATTTGGTGGATTTCCCAATTTTTGGCAGCAGCAATTGCAAGAAAAGTACGTACCGTAACCATTTTAGCTACGGGAGCAAATGTCTCGGTATAATCCAAGCTACGGGAGCAAGTACGTACCGTACTTGATTTTGTAAACCCATTTACATCCCAATGCTTACTTGTTGGGGGGCAGCAAAGTCATAACCCATGTCCCATTGTCTTCTAGAGCACGGATCTCGGTTGCCATAGTCGTGCGCCACCCTTCATCCTGCATGGCGTCGGCAAAAGAGCGGGGTTCGTCGCCAGCGTGGACTGCAGCTATAAAAGCACGATGCCGAGCAGAAAAATTGTTAAAACTGATAAAAATGTGCTAAGGAGTGGGACGTGCCTGGGGAAGAAGACGGGACCGGCGAGTGCAGAGAGGGACTTGTACTACTAGTAGCAAGGGTGATGAATTCCCGAAGCAGAACAGAGGGCCTTTTCTCACGGTGTCCGCATCCCAAAACTGGAGCAGTGGAGGACGCCCCTTCCCCCCATTTCGGAAGAGGTCTCGTCATTACCTGAGGGATCAATTAAAGTGGCCGAATATGTAGTGTGCCCATTCCTTTCACCCATAGTTTCGGATGAAGAGTCTTCGTCAACTGCAGCAGAGGAAATATCTTCAAAGTCATCATCAAAGCCTATGATGGGAGAACAAGGAGGAGTGGAACTGACTGGCTCAGTTGACTCCGTAAAGGGGAAGACATGTTCATGAAAAAGAACATCATGTGACACAAAAAATTCTTCTATGTCCAAACCAAATAACTTCCATCCCTTTTTCCCATTGGGGTAGCCGTCAAAAATACATTTACGTCCCCGCGGTGCAAATTTGTTCCCTTTAGCACGTTGATTGTGCGAAAAGCATAAGCATCCAAATACACGCAATTCGTCATACGTCGGGGGCTTCCCGCATACTAACTCAAAAGGTGTTTTATTGCCAAGTAGACCCGAAGGTGTGCGATTAATTAAATAAACCGCTCCAAGAATACGCTCCCCCCAAAAACGGATAGGCAACCGGGCTTAAAACATGAGAACACGAGCAACATTCAGAATATGTTGATGTTTCCATTCTACCCTGCCATTTTGTTGAGGAGTTCCAACGCAAGAAGTTTGAAATAAAATACCATGAGTAGCCAAAAAAAATCAGCCATGCAAGTAACTTCCGTACCATTGTCGGTACGAATCCTTTTAACAGACTTCTCAAATTGGCACTCCACCATAGCCAAAAATGAAGAAAAAACTTTTTGAACTTCATTTTTGGTACGCAACAGATATACCCAAACCGCACGAGAAAAATCATCCACAATGGTTGAAAAATACACAGCATCACAAGAAGAGAGAGTGCGGTTGGGTCCCCACAAATCACAATGTAATAATTCAAAAATGTGAGTTGCTTTATTGTCACTAATAGGAAAACTGTCACGTTTTTTCTTTGCCATAGGGCATGCCACACACGGTTTATTCAAAGAGTTGCTACCTAAATTACAACCAACAACTGCCACTAACTTGAGAACTCTATCGGAGGGATGTCCCATACGGCGATGCCACAAGTCAAAAATGTCAACTGTCGAACCCGTCATCAGTTGAATAGTTGGAATGCTTCGGTAGTAGTAGAGTATGTCCCTTCTCTCACCGACTCCAATCAGGTTCCCCAAGAGTCAGTCTTGTATGGCACACAAATTATCAGTGAATTTAACAATACATTTCATATCATCAACAAGTTGTGCAATAGAGATTAAGTTGCACTTTAAGTGTGGTACACACAACACATTTTTCAAAGTAAGATATTCAGATAAATAGACATCGCCGATCATCTTAGCCGCAACCCGCTGCCCATTAGGCAAACCAATCGTCCAATTTTCAACACTTGTAAAATTGGATAAAAATTCAACGTTACCGGTAACATGGTGTGTGGCCCCGCTATCAAGGATCCAAAAAGAAGAACGAGTCTTACCAGTCATACGATCAACGACTTTATCATCAGAATTATTAATTAAATTGAGAAGTGCATGCACTTGCTCCGGTTTAAACTGCCCCACAGAACTTTCAATTCCTCCTCTCGGACCTTCGTCCATCACTGCATGAGCTTGTGCCAGTTTCTTCCCAGGTGGTGCACCACGTCCAGAAGACTGCCCCTTGCCGCCCCGGTTGCGGTCCGCCCACCATTTGGGATAGCCGTGGAGTTTGAAGCAGCTTCCTATCTCGTGGCCTCTCCGTATTACTTGGGTGCCGGAGATCAACCCAGTAATGTTATAACCCACGTAATTCTTACCGGAGACAATTACGTAGCTTGGGCCATGGCGATAACACTTTTCGTTAAAAGTGAAAAGAAAGTTCGTATTCGTGGATGGCACGATCAAGAAGCCTACGGAACCGCGGAAGATGCTTAATTGGGAGACGGTGAATTCTATGATTGTATCATGGATTCTTCGTAGTATTGAAGGCAAAAGTGCAGCAACGACTCCATTCCATGTGGAGGCCAAACCGCTGTGGGATTACCTGGAGAAAAGGTACTGTGTGGCGAACAGTCCTAGGCTCCAACAATTGCGCGCAGACATCGTCGGGTGCCGGCAGACCAAAGGGATGAGCGTCGATGATTACTTCAATCGGATCTTGTCTCTCTTTGATGAACTGGGACGCTTAAAACCGCTGCACGCTTGTAATTGTGGGGCATGTACCTGTGACGTGGCAGAAAAAATCGCCGCCGATCGGGAAGAAGAAAAAAATCATCAATTTTTAGTTGGGTTAGATGACGAGTATTACTCTGTGACTCGCTCTAAC